CCCCTCCACCACACCTAGCCATGAAGACAGCTAAACAACCCCAGAGCTGTGTGGCCAATGTTTTTGGAAATGAGCAATAAACACTCCCCCCTACACCCCGAGCCTTATCGCGGCCGCGTGCCCACACTAAATATGACTACTGTTCAAGAATTAATGGTAAAATTAAAATAAAACACTGCAATGCAAGCTCAGAAAATTGTGCAATGTGATGGCCTCGATCGGGTAGTGGTGGAAATGGGTGGTTTGGTCCCCTTCCTCCTGGCTTTGATGGCGGGCTTCGGCCTGTCAGGGATTAGATAGGTCCCGGGTGTTGCTTGCACTGTGATGCGTCCAGGGCATTCCTCTATGGTCCAAGGGCTTCGGCCTTGGTGGAACCCAATTGGGGTGGACATGCGAATAATGTAACCGGTATCCCTGGTTAGAATTGAGGGGCAACCCTCTTTCAAATGGGTTATTTGCCGTTTGGCAGCCAGTGAGCTTGATGGCCTTAAGCCATCCACCCATGGTGTGCTAAGGGTTGGTGCGTAAGCTCCGGCCTACGCCATCGGTCCCGGGTTAAGAGTAACTAGGTACCGGGTAGTCGTCGGGGAGTTTCGGCTCATACGACAAAGAATAAAACTAAATAAAACGATAAAAAAAAATGATGGTCATGCCTGTGGATTCCAATGCAGCCAGAGTCAGACTCATTCTTGGTAAATCAAACAAACCTTTCTTGAAATGAATTTTTACTCAAAAATAAATAAATCATCATTTTAAAGTTCTATTAAAAAAAACCAAACTAAGTGTTGTTTTTGGGGTAATCCAATGTAGTTGGATTAGAAGGAAGTTCAAACCAGTAGGGTTTGAATAATGGTGATCTGAAGGATAAAAATTCAAACTATCTGTATTTTACTATGATTGGAGCACACACATTTATAACAGTATTACGATAGAATAAATATTCTCAATTTAGATTAATCATCATGTTAAAGATAATATTAAGGTACGTTTCTGTCCCTCATTTGTTGAGTGCTTTCTCTTTACTAAGCATGTCTTTCTAACCTAACAAATGTTAGAACTACTTTAACCTATTAAAACTATATTTTAAGAACAATTTTCCACTGGATGTATACATTTATTGTGTTATAATGGACTGGCAAAGATAGGCCTACCATGCATGCTCGTCAAGAAATTTAATTTCTCCTATTTTCACCTTTTCTGCGCCTTAAATCTTTGGTGTATGTTGAGCACATATTCTTCTTTTTTGTAAGTATCTAGATAGAATAAATATTCTCATTTTAGATTAATCATCATGTTGAAGACAATATTAAGGTATGTTTCTGTCCCTCATTTGTTGAGTGTTTTCTCTTTACTAAGCATGTCTTTCTAACCTAACAAATGTTAGAACTACTTTAACCTATATTAAAACTATATTTTAAGAACAATTTTCCACTGGATGTATACATTTATTGTGTTATAATGGAATGCAAAGTCCAGATGTAGAACCCTTAGTTAATGCCCTAAACCTTGCAATTGGCAAAGATAGGCCTACCATGCATGCTCGTCAAGAAATTTAATTTCTCCTATTTTCACCTTTTCTGTGCCTTAAATCTTTGGTGTATGTTGAGCACATATTCTTCTTTTTTGTAAGTATCTAGATACATATATTTCAAGTTATCCTATTGTTGTGAGTTAGCACTAGATTAATTTAGTATACATTAATTTTATTCCAGAAACGAACATAAAATTAATGCAAACTTGAAGGTTCAATAGCCTTAATAGCTACACCAATGTTTGTTGAAATAATACATAATGCAATAAATATATTTGTTTAAGTTCATCTATAAACAAATTTCCTTGTAATATTGTGTTATCATTCAATAATGGAATATACTATGTAAATCTTCAAATTTAGGAATAATTTAAGAGAGAATAAACTAAAATTCATTGTTTTAGCCCCAGAACTGTAATATATATTAAATTGGTTTTACATTACCTTTTATCAGTGTCAATATTAATTTCCATTAAAGTGTTACGTGTTTCGGCGAGCTGTCATTGCCAAAAACTTCATTCCAGGAATATACATTAATTCCGCTTAAATAGCTTCGACAAACACATTTAACACACAACATATTTAGTTTAATAGGCCTATCACGAGTATGCAACATTGCCGGTAGACGAACGGAAACAGACTCATGACTACATGAGCGGGAGTCTGTTCCTGCAAGTATACAGGCAAAACGGAATTTTTCTACTCATACTTGTCAATTGAGTGATGAAACAACAATTAAAATTTACCAAATTTGTTTACTACAAACTTTTGTTAAACTGCAGGAGATCATCAGAATTTTTCCGCGACTATACAATACAACTGAAATGTTTTCTTATCTGCAAGGTGTGGTAAAGGATATGGAGCAATGGTTTTTAGAAAATGGATTAAAACTTAAGAGTCCTTGGAGGCTAGCAGCCATCTTGGATGTTTTAAAACACCTGCTAAAGAGTTATTTATTGTCCAAAAATATTTTTTCAAACACCAAAGTGATCATAATTTTAATATTTAGTATACTGTGGGATTAGAAATGTTCACTGTAGTTTTTGATCGTTCTACAAGGGAGTCCATAGAAGCTAGCGGCCATCTTGGATTTGCCTGCCATAATAGCAATCTTAATTTTGTTAATTTCAAACAGCCGCTGAAGAGTTATTTGCCATCTTAAAATATTTTTTCAAACACCAGAGTGATTGTAATTTAAATATCTAGTAGCCTATACTGTGTGATCAGAAATTGTCTTAGTAGTTTTTTAATTGTGTAACAAGTTAGAACGTCTAGTCTCCAAGGACTCTTAATGTAAAAATAAAACAAATAGGCCAATTATTAAATTTTCTACTAGATAAAAAAATATAGAAAACTGTTCTTTTAATTTAGTTAAAAATATGGAAAACTGTTCTATTAATTTAGTTGAAGCTCATAATTCTTAGGGGTTTATGTAGATGATGCAGTTGAATGGGATTCATATTTCAATTTTTTACATACCAAAATTAGGTCGATATCATCTTTATTCATACATTTAAGGGACTGTGTTTCTATTGAGACACTTTTAAATTCGTTTATCATGCTTATGCCGAGTCTGTATTAAGATATGGCATAATTTTATGGGGTCCAGCTACTGGTATAAAATCTACATTCAGGTTACAAAAACGTATTATTCGCATTATCACCTACTCTCATCCACGCAATTCTTGTAAGAAACATTTACAAAATTTAAAAAATTCAGACATTAACGGGGTTGTATATTCTAGAATTATTAAATTACATACATTCAGTTAAAAATGAGCTACCAGAAACAATACATTTTAACCACAGGAAACTTGAAATGAAAATATATTTAGACTACCCAGACACCGTTTGACCCTATATGAAAAATCTCCATTGTATGCTGGGCTGAGATTGTACAATGTGCTTCCGCCATGCTATAATTCATTAAACAAAACCAAATTAATTTAAAGAGACAATAGATAATTTACTTATTGACAAGGCTTTTTACTCAATTGAAGATTTTTACAACAGAACTTTAATTTATAACTTTTTATTTTTTTCTCAGTGTTTAATTTTAAGTTTAGTTTGAATGTTAAATATATTTTATGTATGGATTTAATTTTGACAATCCACCTAGGCTATTCTAAATGTTATGACGTGTATGGAATGTTTTGTGCAAATAAAGTATGTCTATGTCTATGTCTATTGCGAAAGACAATGATAATTTTTACGCAGTCAAACAACTTTTATTGCATTAGCCGCGATCATGGATGAGGATGATAATATCCACTCGACCGCGGGAGACAATAATACTTCTACAAGACCCGGAAAATTATCAGAATTTTGCTGCATCGCAGAAGATTATGGTGATGTCTAGGACCACGGGAGATGAGAAAGATGTCTACATGACCGCCAGAGATTATGAGAATTTTGCCTATATCACCCCCATGAACGTCTACACGACCGCCGAAGATGATCATAGGTTTTTCCTATATTAGAAGATTGATAATTCCTACATGACCGGGAGAGATGTTCTTTATTTTGCAGCGATCGCAGGAGATTATGTTAATGTTTCCGTGACCGCGGGAGACGATGATGTTTCAAGACTGAGGAAGACATTCAGTATTTTGTAGTAATCCCAGAAAACGACAATGATGTCTCCACAACCGCGGGAGAAGATCACGATATTACCTCGAGTTTGGCCTGACTGAAAATATCTGGCTGACACATCTATAGTTACAATAACATTTTCCTTTTTGATTTTTGTTGTTGGATCTTCATTTACCCTTAATATGGTAGTTATTTACTGTTTTAAGTAGGATTAAACTTAAATAGGCTGGTTAGAATTTTTCATTGCTGCATACATTTTTTCTTTACTTAACACCCCATTACTTCATAAATATTTTATGGAAGGACGTTAAGACGGGGAACCAATCCATTTATAAAATTTTGTAAAGCTATAAAAAAAAGTATCGGTATCGAGAATCCATACATTTTGGTATCAAAACATCTCTATTATAGACATTTTAATAAAAACACGCTTTATTACTGTACCTTTCCTGTAGCAGCAAACGTAATTACTAGACCTAATCATTGAACCTAAAGAAATATTTTTGTGAAAATCAAATCAGGCTAATGGAAATTTCCCAAGTCTGCAGGTTTGATGTGGTGGTATTTTTAGTTATAATTTTTCAAGTACCCTAAAAACAAACTTTAAGCTTCTAGGACACAACACTAATTCTCAAACAGCAAGCAAACAACTGTGACAAACAACAATCTCTGTAGACTGTCATTACAAGATAATAATAAATGTAAATGACCCCAATAAAATAAAATGTAAACACCATCGTTTTTCACAATATTGTAAATTTAAAAACTGTTAAAACATAGTTCAAATTACCTTTTGAACACATAACAAAAAGAACCTAGGAAAATTGAAAGACAAAGATAGTTTTCTAGAAAGGGGTCTGAAATAAAACTATCTAGCTTAACATAAATGGAAAACACTTTATATTAAATGTCTATATAATGTTCACATTGGTACAAAATCTAAAAGACTATTGATATTCTAATAAATTGATAAGTGTAAGTGAATGCCTACAATTCAGAAGAATGATACTACACAAACTAATTAATTTATACTTCAGTGTAATATATTTCATGTACAACAAGTTTTCTTTAAAAATCAACGATAGCAAAATACTTATAAAATTCTCCCTCGACAAAGTTTTTTTTCCGTACGTTATAAATTAAAACTATGAAAAAATTAATTAGTTAAAAATCCACATTCAAAAATGTCCTTTTCATACAATGGGCATATCTGAGAAGGTAGTAGGTCTTGATGCACCACCAAACTTACGTTTTCAATATCTTCTTCCACCGCCACCACTGTTGGCTGCCCCTCCATATCCACCACTGTAGCCACCTCCTGCTGCTCCTGATCCTGCACCAACAAACAAAAAATATATATTAACATTGGAGACAGCTGGATTCAACTATCTGCTCTCTATATTTCAAATCGCATTATTCTATTGTGTAATCTTTCATTTCAATTCTCTTTTTCTCATTACTTTATATTAGGGGTCTGCGGTACAGAAAATTTAAGGTCGGTACAGTTCGGTACTGTACAATGTTTTGTACTTCGGTTCTCGGTACAAAATCAGTATGATACAAGAGGCTACCATTAATTTTTCAGTTTCTTCTCAGAATTATTGTATAATATATAATATAAACCAATATTTTAAATTTTAATACATTGACATTACTATGGAAATGAATAGTACGCTACATTCATGGTTTTCTAACAACAAATTACAGTACCACCCGTTTTAAAATCTCTACTCCCATCAGGATTGTGTCAAGAAAGAAACACATTTAAGATGGCTTTACCTATGTTACTATTAAGATAAGGCATAGTCGTAGAGGTTTTTAAAATTAGGTTAACAATTTTTAGGAATAAATATTATGTTTGAAGGCCATAACAAAAATTGTGAAGCCAAGTAAAGAAAGACATGGAGCAACTGAGGAGGATGCAGAGGATAGAGCAAGATGCAGAGGCTTTGTTGGTGCGGCCAAATATCTTCTTAGATATGCATGGCCCTGGGAGTAAGTAAGTAAGTAAATATTATGTTTGAAACAACAATTTGATCAGATAGTTTCACACAACTGCTAGTAAATTATTTCCAACTGCACTAGGACTAAACACAATAACTGGGTGTTCCTTTTATCTTAATCTCAATTCAATTTTCTTAGTATTTTTAAAAAGCTCTTCCAAAGAATCAAAAGACCCAGGCCTAGCTGGACCTTGTTATTTAGGAGGGTATATGAATGTTATTGGAAAATTTGGTAAGATTTTCTTATATAATCATATACAAAATTTAAAATTAATCCAAACAAAAATGGTGGATTCCACTACTTATGTGATTTAACCCTCCGAGTGTTAAGCGTCGAAAAAGTGACGCACAACACACCCGCTGTGCTTGAAGTGATTTTGAAGAGCTGGTTGATGATCCTGAAGAAGTAGGTAGTGATATTGATGTAAATTATCAGCCAGATTCCTAGCTATGGTTAGGCTATGCATTCTTAGCTTTCGCTCGATGTACGAAATCTGTTTTTCACCCATAACTTATTTATTTGCAAATTTACTTTCTTATATTATTATATTTTTGTAATCCTCATAAAATTTAGAACGAAGTGACTATTTTAAAATTTTTGTAGACTTATAATTATACAAATTTATTAAGCGCAAACATAAAATTTTTTCATTTATCTAGATTTTTTTAGAAAAGTTAACCCCAAAAAAATTTTTGAGAATTTTTTTGTAATGTTTTATTTATTACATTGAAGCTCATCATTTTCCAAACAAAATTAAATATATAACAGTATACTTTAGAGTGTTTTTAAGTTTCTATGATACATTTTAATAAAACCATGCGATTGCACAATAAATGGGCCGACATTAAAACAATTACTATGGACACTTGGAGGGTTAAAAGCCATAAACATGTATCAAATAAAGTGGTATGGTTGAATTTTATTTCTAAGTGTTGGCGGATGTCGAAATATTTTATACAACACTAGGTGAAACCCGTCGAAATCGATGGTTGCTTTAAAGGCTTACGCTAATTCATCTAAATGCAATAGAATGATTCAATAGAATGAAATTTTAAAAAATTTGAGCATTTAGTGTTGTTTAATGAGTAATAGATAACTATTGCGTTAGTTACAAAATATGGTTGATCATTCAATGAGAAGCATATTTCTTCATAGTAGTTATTGTTACTATGTAACTGGTTTCTCTTCTTTTGGAGGAATATGTTATGAAGAATTCTTTTGGAGGAAGTAGTATCAAAATCGTATTGGTGGATCTTTGGTGGTAAACACTTCCACGATTTCATCAGTGTTATGCAGATTAAATCTATGCTTCGCGGCAAATCATGAACATCTCTTGCGGCCATGTAGACGTCATCATCGTCTCCTGGGATTGTGGTAACGTCATCGTCGTCATCTGCGATCCCGATCGCGGGCCAACTCATCTCCCGCGATCACGGAAACGTCATCGTCGTCTTGCGCGATCGCGGCAATATTGGTAATTTTCCAGCATTATCAGTTCCGAAACCGAAATTTCACCATCGGTTCTCGGTTCCGGTTCTTTTGCCAAGAAACGGCGGAACCGACATCTGACGTGAAGTACCGACCCATCACTAGTTGTTATCTTTATGAGTTATCTAATGTTTTATAGGTTTTCAAAATAATTGTTTGCAACTACATAAATTTATAATTATGCTTCTCTTCTGAAACAGCACAATCGGATGCATAATAAAGGTCAATGACCTAAAATATCATGATTGCACAATGTTGTATTTTGATGTAAAAATGCAAATCATGGCATTAATTTGAATATTTTTCTTGGTTCCTAGCATTTCATATAAAATCAATCTATTCTATATAATTCAGTTTTAAAAATCTTTGTACAACTAAATCTAGAGCTCTACTGGACCAATTTTATTAATTAATGGGTCGTTGGAAAGCTTAAGTCGTGAAGATTTGCAAATAATTTTGAAAGTTTGTTTTTGTTAGGCCTATGATTTATGGTGATAGATTAAAGAAAACATGTTTTCCATAAGAAATACATTGAAAACGGTGTTTTTCACACTTTTTATTTGGGTGCGACTTTTAGCTGCCATTTTTGTATATTTCCAAGAAGTGCATGGTATCAATTTGTAGGAAATTTTATTCTCTTTCAGAATATCACCTTCCACTTTGGTCGTTTTCCTCACCATTTAACCCTGCGAGCGTCACTTGTCGAAAAATCGACTCACGGCACACTTTGTGTTTTAGTGTTAAAAATCAAAAGTAGTGATGCATACGTGGTGCATTATAAGAAGATTTAAGTGATTATGAAGGGCTGGTTGATGATCCTGAAGAAGTAGGTGATATTGATGTAAATTATCAGCCAGATTCCTAGCTATGGTTAGGCTATGCATTCTATACGCTATGTACTGAAATCTGTTTTTTGCCCACAACTTATTTATTTGCAAATCTACTTCCTTGTATTATTATATATTTGTAATCCTCATAAAATTTAGAACAAAGTGGCTATTTTCAAATATTTATAGGCCTATAATTTATACAATTTCATTGAGCACGAACTTATTTTTTTTTCAATTTTTCCAAAATAATTTTTTTTTTACATAAAAAATGTTTTTGAAACAAATTTTTCCTTCAAGTCAGTAACAGTCAAAAACCTTTGCATGGGACTAGGCATTCAACACATCTACACCAGTCCCTATTACCCCAACCCTTCCCACGCCGAAAGAGTAAACAAGCAGATAAAGATCGCGATCAGAATTTTTCACCACGAACACCAGAAACGCTGGGATCAGGAACTACATTGGTTTCAGATGGCATTTAATTCCGCACGGCATGACTCTACCAAAATTTCCCCAGCTCGTTTGTTCCTCGGAAGAAATATTTCACACCCCTTAGAACTCCATTGGAATATGGACAGGCTAATCGACGATCAGGCTTCTCCACAATCTTCCAATGAAGAGTGGAGAAGAGCCGTCGAGAACCTCACAAAGGCTAGGCAGCTCAGGCAACAAAAATATGATCTGGACAGATTACCCAACCCTTACAAGATAGGCGACTGGGTAATGTTCAGAGAACACCACCTCAGTAGGGCCGCCGACGCCATCAATCAGAAATTACTCCCTGTTTGGTCCCAACCATGTGTAATTGAAGCTTTCTCTTCTCCCGTCACAGCACGTTTGATCAATCCCTCAACCGGAAAATTTGTTAGGAACGCACATGTGTCTCATTTAAAAAGATTTTTTCAACCACAATTCTGAAGAACAACCCATTTTACCCAGGCCGGAAAGCTATGCTGAAGTGATATTAGGTTAAGTCTTCTCTGTCTGTCACTGTCCCCGCCATCGTCCGGGGGAGTGTGAGTCTCAGGGTATCCTTCCCTAGGATGGGCTGCCCTACACGTCCTCCTCCGTGCGTTGTCGGCCAAATCTTTTACCCCTCCCTTTTCGTCTCTGACACCCTCACTGAGTTAAGTAAAGAATTTTTTTATTGAATATTACTTTCCACGGGCGTCTACATTTTATTTTTATTTTTGTTATTTTTACCCCGTAGGAAAGGGCTCAGTGATGGCACCTTCTGTGGTGGCTTGTGCACAGTCATTTGTCTAGAGACAAACTCTCTTACTATTCTTTCCTATCCTTCCCTGTCTTATTTTCATACTTCTTAACTTAAGTAGTCGCTAACGTAGTAGCATTTAGGTCTAGGGATAAGTTAGTTACCAATCAATGTCAAATCCATGTACAGTTAGATATAGGAACCACAGAGCAAAAGAGAAAGAAATAGGATATTTTTTTTATCTTCAAAAATACTCCAAAATGAGTGAGAATTCCCCAAAATCCACAATCACCTATCCTCACCTCAATTTAGCGCTCATCGATGCGTATATGTGCATGCGTTATTTTCTGCATGCGTAATTTTCTGCATGCGAAATGTTCTTCAAAAAAAAAAAAAAACAAAAAAAAAAAACAGTTTTAATATCCTTCCAAACCCCCATCAACACACAGACCCCAAAGCGGTTTTTCGCGAGTTCCACCAGTCTGGCTTTTGAGTAGCTCGGCCCCAACGAACCCATGGTTCATCTTTTTGAGTCCGAGCCAACCCGTCAGTGATTGGACCTCCTCCTTGCGACCAACCTCTCATCACATCCATAACGACAGTCACCTTGTTCAGTAATTTTAAATGACCATCAGCGGTCAATTTCAGTTTTTGATCCCCAATCTATGACAACTGTTACAACCAGATAGCTGCACAACCCAAAAAAAAAAAAAAAAAAAAAAAAAAATTATTCAAAGAAGTACAAATTTTATTAAATCTAAAAGAGTACATCAGCTAAATTCCAAAACCAAATTCTTCATCAAGTGCGCAACACATGTGACAGCAATGGAGACTATGAAGTAATGACCTTCATCTCCAGTAGCAACGGCAGTTTGACAGTCTTCCCCGCAATCATACGCTGAGAGAGTGACATCTCGCCATGGGCACTTCCAGCATCGCTCCGGCCTTGTCCGCATGAGCAGCCTACGGCATACATTACCTGCATCCTGCACCGCTCCGGCCTTGTCCGCATGAGCAGCCGAAGGCACGACACATCATTACCTACACTGCTGCCGAACTCCTAGCCCATGTCATCAACACACCTCTCAGAACCATCAGCATAGCACCGGAAGCCGCACCATTTTCTCCATCATCTGCCCATAGTACTCAACCCTCAAACATTTCAATAAAAAAAAAAATAAAATAAAAACAAAAATAAAAAAAATATACATATTTGGGAAGTGCAGTTGTCCGTCCCTTTTCATAAATTTGCATTTAAACTCAACAATCTCAATTTAGTAGGCTAGGGAAAAGAACTGTCGTCCCCACAAAACTTCCTCTTTTCGCAGGGGGGGTGGATCCCGCTCTCTGCCGTGGTTGGTTCGGGAAATTCAGGGTGTCCGAGGTGCCAATTACAGCCGGGCTGGTCTGAACCTCCAGCCTTCCACATCTGGAAGGAAATCATCCGAAAGTTCCCTCACACACAAAAAAAAAAACAAACAAACAAACACACCTATGATACCCTTCTCCAACCTTTAGCAAAACTGTCTTTTTTGGCCTTTCTTTGCTCCAAGGGGGGGTGGTTGTGACGCATAGCGGCACGCTATATTTCTTATAGTGTCAGCGCTTCGTGTGGCAGGGCTGCATGGCGAACTCGTCAGCCCACCGCGAGCAAGCGAACGGCTTCCCCCACCGACCTTTCCCAACCTTCTACCTTCTTCCCACTTCACCGGCATCCACGATCAAGAACTCTCACAGAACAAGTGTTCCCCAGGAAAAACCTACTAAATGGATAAGTCCTTAGATAATTGTTTACAATATATTTAGATTAATATGTCAGGCTAGTTAGCAAACAAGGGGGAGACCTACAAGGGTCGCCCCGACATCGAAAATGTAGGAATTAGGTACCTTACTGGTCCAGCCCTTCAGGCTCCGACCATTTTCAACATGATTAGGGCAACACGTTTTCCTCAGAAGTTTCCATAGTTCTTTTAAATAATTTGTTTGGCATTTCCTATTTAAGTAGTTCAATAACCAGTCAATCATTTTATTAACAGTCATTTTCTAGGTCACAAGTTTTGGAAGGATAGTTTATAGTAAATTAGTTGTATTAGCATAAATCAAAGCTGGCTATGCGAGCTTCCGGTCTGGGTAAAAGATCTCCGTCCTCTGGTCCCCAACACGTCTTTCATTAATTAATTTGGTAGCAAAATCAGCACGGTTAATATAGTTTTACACCCTCAATCAATCAGTAAGCACCAAACAGTTCCATGCAAACTCTAACGGCCACACAGTTTGTGCATAACTCGAAATATACGTCAAAATGAAAGCCGATGCTTGATGGCAAATCTGTGGTACGTCCATACCTTTACTTTAATGCCAAAATTATGAAAATCGGTCGGGTAGAAGAGCTAACCCGACTCGGAAAAGAAAAACCAATTATTTTTATAGATGGTAATAATTGGTTTACCAGTATGCATAATCTAATTATACGAAACATGTGTTAATAATTCAACAGCTTATTGTTATATTTTTATCTAATTAATTTTTCTTTGGTTAAATGTTGTTGTTAACAATTTGCATTTATGTTTAAAGTGTGTTCCTTATGTTAAATATGTGATTCTAATGTTATGTGCTTAAACTATACCATTAATATTAGTGAGTAAAGTGGTGTATGGATTTCATAACCATTATTTTACTAGAGACCGTTGTATTTAACCACAACGGGCACTGTTGCTAGTGCTAAATATTTGAGGTTTGATTCAAAATATATTTTTGATGGGCAAAGTTTCTACATGGAAAAAATAAAGAAAATCAAAGTCAAACCGTGCAAGGGATTCCCGAAAAACAACTTTGAATCATTGTCCTGATGTTAGAATACCCAGCCACGCCAGCCCACTAACGGAAGTGGTGCAAGCCTAAATATAGCTTCAAAGGTGCAACCCTTCCCTTCCCCCTCGCCCTGGGCAAATATAGCGGCAAAATTACAAAAATCTTCTGCTGCCGTATAGACGTCATCATTGGCTCCTACGGTAATTGGATCGTTGTTGTTGTTGTCGGCGATCGCGGCTAAATAATTAATATTTTCCGTGGCCGTGTAGACGTCATCGTCGTCTCCCGTGGTCATGGAAATGCCATCGTCGCTGTCCACAATCGTGGAAAAATCATGAAAATTTCATGCAGCCGTGTAGTATCATCATGTACTCCCGCGGTCACGGTAATGTCATTGTCGTCGTCCGTGATTGCAGCAAAATCATGAATATTTCCGGCGGCCATGTAGACGTCATCGTCGTCTCCCGCGGTCACAAAAACGTTTTTGTTTGCCCTATTCTATCGAAGGATTATTTTCAACTCCAGGTGGCAGTGGTAATTTTTAGAAAAATTGTGGGTCTTTTAATAATCTTTAAACACTGCTGATGTATAAATTTTTTAGAGTACTTACTGGAACTGGTATAAAGTAGGGGTCTGCGGTGCACCGAAAAAGTCAGTACGGTATGGTTCTGGCCTATTTACCACCGTCGGTTCGGTACAGTATTTTGCATGGTACGATTTCGGTTCAGTACAGCCTATAATAATAAAAAATTATAGGCTACTCAATTTATAGCTTAATTATTGCTTTCAATTATCAGACAGGTTTTTTTTATGGGTTAATCAGATGTTTGTTTAGGATTTTTACAGAAGGCAACAGGGAAAGATTGGTAACAAGCACATCATAGTTACCATAGGGAGCAGTCCTGTTGCCGGCAGCATAGTTGTTGTTGCGCATGGGACCACCACCGTAGCTCTGTTGACCATAGCTTTGCTGAGGCTGATTACCCCAGGCCCCGTAGCCCTGGTCCTGGCCCCAGCCTTGGGGAGCCTGCTGACCTCCCCAGCCCTGGCCTCCTCCCTGTGCGTCCCACGGACTCCCACCATAACCATTGCCTCCTGTAATATTATTACAGGTGTTAGAACATCAGTGCTGCAACTTCAGACTGATAAGCAGCTGGTGTTGATGCATCGTATACTAAATAGCACTAACTCAGAGGTACGCAGAAAATAAATCAACAATAGCTGGAAATACTGTAAAGAACATTCACGGTAATTATTTTGTAACATTAACGAACACATTTAACATAATAATGATGTTACATACTTATTGAATTAAATAATTATAACACATAATTGTAAGAAGAAAAAATAAATTCTTGTTTTTATTCATTTCTCAAACTTAGAATTGTAAATATTACATTAGCTGTAAATAGAAATAAAATTAAGTAATGAGTCCAGACTAACAGATATAATAATATATAACAAATGAGTAGAACTAATCTGAACTAATTGGGACTGAACAATATAGGAAAGTACTGGGAAGATCTTGTTTAAATTATGAACAGTTGAGTTGAGAACAGTATTATGAAGATAGTGGTGATATATAAGTGATGACTCCATCAATGTTCCTTCTTGAAGCAAAAGAACATGGAGTAGCAAATATTGATTGTATCGAAAGAACAGATTTATGTCACCATATGAAACATCAACTGAAATTGAAAGAAGTTTTAAGGAAGAGATTTCGAAGTGAATATTTAAGTCAGTTGATTCTTCATAGAACTAAAAGTAAAAATCGTCAAGTTAAAGTCAGAGAAACTGTGCTGATAGGAAGTGACAATGGAAAACGTATGGACTGGCCTATGGCGAGGGTTCAGAAAACTTTCAAAGGAAAAATGGTAATGTCCGTTTGGGAGCTGAGGACATCTAAAGGAACCCTGCTACGCAACCTATTCAACAGCCATTGAATAGTTATGTTTGATTATAATTTGAAGGATTTTTGTTCAATATTTTTTTAGTATATTTTAAAGTAATTTTTGCCATCCCTTTTAGATGAATCAGTGTTAATTGAAAGGCTGATCAGCGGTGACAACGGGACTGCAAGATGTGATCACAGGTATTGCCGTTATCGTAGGAGAAAATGAGATAATCACTGCTGTCGCAGATACTGCAAAGATATGCTCACCCATGTTGCTACGATCACAGAAGACAACCAAGACTAGTAAAAATGGCATGTAAAAATGTGTTTAGAAATTATCAAAGTTAAAATAATGTATCTAATTTTTACTGTCAAAATGACAGATTAGGCTATCTGAAAAGATCAGTAATTCTAACACACCCAATTGTTTTTGATAACTGACTCTATTATGTATCTTTTTTGTATGCTGATTAAAGGTTAATTGAACAGTGAAATGTTTAATCAAATTAAACATATGAAAGGTGATGTTAATGTTACCCCAATTGTTCTGCTGCTGCATGGGAGCTGATCTATTGTTCCACCCCTGGTCACCTCTGCCTCCCCCTCGGCCACCCCCTGCTCCTCCCTTGCCTCCCACTGCATCCTTGTTCATGGCTTTCTTGACATCCACTGGTCTGCCCTTGATTACATGTTTTTTCTTCACTGTAACAAGCAATTCTTTATGGCATATTTTTGTTTAAACAAAACTAAGGAAGAATTACCCCGATACCAAATTGCAGGGTAAAATTAATCTCAATTAAAAGTTCTGAGATCTTAAAAGTCTAAGAGTACAAGAGTAGTATTTTACAACAAATGCCACAAATACTTTTAATGAGGCTTTTTTCCAGATGATCTTTACAATCCTAAAAAATAAGCTCGACTAAGCAAAATGGATTGTAAGTCACTTCTGAATCTGAGTTTAAACCACTGTGACAAACTTAAAAGTTGACTACAGTTAACACGTTCGCTGCTGATGACTCCGATCGGAGTCATGCCGTACTGGCACAGCATGCGTACGACTCCAGTTCGAGTCACGGTGCAGTGTTATACAAGTTGGTCTACTGTGACCTCCACATTTATCGGGGATCAACTAAACTATGTCAGCATGTTGTGCTGGCCCTATACTTTAAATTTCCCGTAAAATCCCGTCTGGCAACGCTTTTTGTCCCGTTTTCAGGGATTTTCTCTCTTCGAGCCACATTACAAAGACAATGGCTACGGATCCAGGCAGTGCTGCTATCTGTGAGTTTTTCAGTGAACTACGTCTACTCTCGGGGTAACACAGCACCATCAACACCACTGTTTTTCTGCTGTCAAAGACTGAAATATTTTAATGCTATTGTGTTCGCTGATTCACTGGCGCGCCGAGGCTGCGTCGCATTTCCGACCGTACTGCCAAAGGGATTCTCGCAGCAAATGTGTTAATAGGCCTACTTCTATTTACACCAGTAAATAGCAGTAGGCCTACACACTACACAGGCTTCTGCTGCCATTTCAATCAGCCGACCATGAAGATTCTTAACTGTTGTATCGTACTGTAGAACAGTTTTCCCTGCCCAGGGTGGCTACTGCATCAGTAACTTTAAATTCCCTGACTTTTCCCTGACTAAAAATACAGGTGATATGCGTTAAATTTAGGGGTGTGCGAATACTACTTTTTCTTTTCGAATCGAATACGAATCAAATAGAGAGAATTTCGAGTTGAATTTGAATGTTTTCGAATCGAATACTTTCCCTCGAATAGTGAACATTTTTTAACCGAATACTAAGTTTAACTTAACCCTCAAATAATGAAAACTTAAAATCAATGTCAAGTCAACTCTCAATAACTTAATTACTAAAACTGTTGGTATATTTTTTCAGAATAAGTTAAGTGTAGTTTGTAAATGTATCTTTTGTTTATTTAATTTAGGCCTAGTTTAATTCAATAGGTAACTGAACTTAGATAATAAGTAAAGGTACAAACCTGAACCAAGTTTTATTAGTCAAAATTATAAAGCACTACCAATAACAAATTTTGTAAAACACATTCAACCAATTGGGTAGTGATAATCATTATAACCACATAAAAACGCACATTGTTTTCTTTTACTAAGTAGGGATTTAGGCCTACTACTTACTGTCAGCCCTAAGTATATGTTTTAGAACATAAACTTTAAAAAGGTATGCCTAAAATAAAACTTGTTGTCATAACTTAACATAGCCTAATCTCATGACTTGGGCTTAGGCTACTGGACAACTAGGTTTGAAGGTACAAGAACCTAGGCCCTATTTTTAACCATTTACAGTACCTAGTTTAAATCTTCGATTGAAATAATAAAGCCCTTTTTAGCCTAAATGTAGGCTAACTTAAACTTAGGCATTTTTAGAATGATTTTATTAATATAGGCTACATAAATGTATAATTATTAACTTTTAACCTACTTTTAAGGACTTTTTACACGTGTTGCATTCTGCAACAGAGTCCTTTTTGACAAAAAAAATCCCAAATTAAACTCCTTTCAGGGTGTCTACTACATTCTGGATAAAAAATTCATGGACAATTCCCGTACATTTAAGGACCTTTGTTGGTGTGATTACAGAATAATATTCCTGATTTGTCAAACTGTATTAATCTTGTTCTTCGTGGTTGTTCCAGAGAGAAAAGTAAAATATAATAGACAAGAATTAAATTTCAAAATAGAAACTTATTGAAGTAAACAAACATATACTTTAGGTACAGCTTTTATAGTTTAACAGAAAAACGCAATCAATGTCTCCTGCAATAGCGACAAAATCCTAAATATCTCCATCGGTCACGGAAACATCATAACATAGCTTATCCGATGCAGGTGGATTAATTTGGCATTATTCGCCCTGGCACAACGTTAGGTCCTCGACTACTTTTGAAAAAAAAAAATCTTTAATGCATAATGAATATATTGTAACTCGGTTCTAGGTACAAATCGGTACCAGTAAGCACAGAGTAAGATTATTGTCTTTTCATCTGCAAAGTTAATATCGACACATAGCAATCATTACTTTATCTTAGGCTCAATTACATTTTCTTAGTATATTTTACAGCACTTTCAAAGAATCAAAATACCCAGGCCTAGGCCTAATTATTTAAGAGGGCCTATATAAACTGAGAAACAAACTATGAGGTTATACAGCAAAGTCACTACAATAAGATAATAAGATAAAAAGATAGTTAATAATAGTTAATAAGATTTAGATTGCTTAAAGCATACAACTCAATAAATAAATATGGGAAATAAAAAACATTGAAACCTGACTGCCAACAATGTACAAAGATACAGAAAATGCTATGACATCATTTGAAACCAAGTAGGCCTACGTAGTGATAAAAATGTAATGCAAACAATGATGCTTTTGGTTTTGTCAATTGAAAGATAAAATATCCATAAAAAAAGGGGTTAATTTAGTTATGTTTAAGATTATAGTTACATGTTTTATATGAAACCATAAACAGTTTTATGGCCCTAGGCAATGGCCAGCGGCAAATTGAAGTACAAGTAAGAAGTGAAATTTAACAACCATTATAAAACTATTATTGCCATGATAAAATGTTTGGGATCTAATAATGATTACCCTAGTAATAAATAAATGTTGTAAGGGAATAAAAGTGATACAGCTTTTATGAGCTAAACTACTACTGAATCAACAGTTCTTGGACGTACTTGATTTGACACTTGATTGTCGTGATAAAATATTAATGGGTTTGAGAATGCTGGGGTTTTTATTGCATATTTGGTTTTTATTAGGGTTTTTATTACTCTAGTAATAAATTATGAAAATGTAAACAAACATCTGATAAACCTTTTATGTGCTCCTAACCAACTAGCGATCGATAAAATTATGGCCCATTAAAAATTTAAGGACATAGTCTGGCATTTAAGGACAATTCCCGTACATTTCATGGCCAGTAAAAAATTAAGTACAATTCCCGGTTTTCCCGGATTTCCCGGTTGGTAGACACCCTGTCCTTTACTTATTTTTTAATTCTTGTGATGATGTTGAAAACACATTTAGGCCTAAATCGGCTTCTTCATCTGAGTCCATCTTGTGTCATTCAACCAAACTTAAATGAAGCCTAGGCCTACAACTTTTAGGCAATATCCAACTGTATAAAAGCAACTGTTGTCAAAATATACAAAAATTTTTACTAAGTTTAGCTGAAATACTTAGCGCAGACGTGCTAAATAAACTGCAACACACTGTATTGTAACACAGCTTGCGCTAATGCAATAGAAAAAAGAAAGAACTAACTAGAGAAGCAGAAGAATAGAAGCAGACTTCCATAGCAAGTAGTGCGAATTACGTTTTACTCTGGGATCACGGCAAATCTATCAAGCAGACAACCAGCGCCGTCCTTAGGGTGGAGGCGAGTGGAGCGACCGCCCGGCGAGGCCTTACTATCGCTAGAAATAAGTTAATGTTTTGGAATGAAAATAAAAAAATAAAGTACAGACAGATACATGTGCCTAAAATATGTCTTATTTATTATGAATTAGCCTATATCAATTGTTGTATCGATTAAAAACCTACGAACGACTTTTAAAACACAAAAGAATATCAAACAACGTTTGACAGCTCGGCGGCGATGACGGAACCCGAGCCTCGCGGCAGCCACCCCGGTGAATGTGAGTGAGTCATACGCTTACTCTTGCTGGTGCCATTAAAGTTCTATTGCATGATTAATTAAGTTCAATTTATTTACAGATGTAAATGTTTACTGGATTGAATGGATAATCAGCGTGGATAAGACTGACTGTAAACTACTCGCATTTCACAATAAACATAAACCTATAACAATATTTGTCATTAAAGTAAAAAGTAATACTGTGAATCAATTACACTGTAATGATACTACCTCTTTTAATTTATTATTAAAAACTCATTGAACCCCCCATTACAGACCAACTGACGAAAACACAATAAACCTATATTGACAAAAAGTACATAAACAAGTTAGCCTATGAGCATTTACTATTTACAAAGTGACGGGACGACAATCCACAGTGAAGAGAAGTGTTCATTTTTTTATTAACTATTGTAAAGAACTTCGTGGACAATATTTATGATATTCACTTTGGAATTGGAACAATAATATGTGCAATTAGCTATGATATTAACGGCCATTTACAGAGTGTAAAAGAAATGACGAATTTGCAAGTATCTCATTGACAATTATTTATGTAATATTTTTTTAACTTTAAAACACCCTTCACAGACCAACTGCCGAAAACACAATAAACCTAACTTGACAAAAAAATAAATAAACAAGATAGCCTATAAGCATTTACTATTAATTATTGTCATCCCGCCACTTTGTTTAATTTACAAAGTGTTAATTCAATTCACAATCCACAGTAAAGGAGAAGTGTTAATTTTTTTTTATTAATGATTGTAAAGAATTTCGTGTGCAATATTTATGATATCCACTTTGGAATTGGAACAATAATATGTGTAATTAGCAATAATATTCACGCCCATTTTCAGAGTGTAAAATATTAATTTTTTTTGTCAAAGTGCTTAAAATGACGACTTTACAAGTATAATTTTACAAAAGTTTTCCGGGGGGGACCCCCAGACCCCCCGGTGAGCTTGGTTAAACAAGGCCTCGCAATTATGTATTGCCCCAGGCCTCGCATTTTATAAAG